AGCAGCTTTTATTTATTAAACTACATAAAAACTCCCATAAAATTCCATAGATTTATAGTCCTTTCAATTCTATAATAACCATCTATGTTACTTTAAAGTACAAATATTTAGAACACATAAAATAGCTTTCTAAACATATAACAATAACAATTTTTTATTGCTTGATTTACTTCAAAAAAGTGTTTTGAATTAAACTATAAGTTCCTCATTAACTTTCACCGGTATCATGTGAAGTATTATATTATTACGCATTAATTAGTAATGTTACTCGTTAAAACACACACTAAAACTAGTTTATTAATTGGCTGGCACGTAATCGTAAACACCCTGTTGTTTTTCGTGTTGTATTTCGGAGACAAGAATGATATAACAGCTTCCTAAGTATGTAACGTATTATTTACAGAGGCAATATCACTTTCCATTTGTTGTCTTAATTTTCCATAGAGGAAATGTTAGAAATAGCATACGATCGAAAAAAAACGGCGTCAAAGAAGGCTGGGGAATGAAAATCGATGATATTTTTGGCTTGGTCAATATCTAGACGTCATTTACTAGAAATCTATATCCAAATTTTTTTTTTTTTGAATTTTGAACTACGCCATTTAAAAATCAGTTTTATATAGCTCTAAAAGCCTAAAAGACTCATGGCTTGATTGGTTATCTTTCTCCATTTGTTTCTGTCTTTCGCCTTTATTCTCCACCCATCCACTCTTGTCCTTCTCAAGTCCTCTTCAACATCCTTTTTCCATCTGGTTCTCGGTCTATCCCTCCTTATCTTTCCACCAATTTCACGTTTCATTATCATACTAGGAATTCTCGCTTCAGCCATTCTTTTAATGTGTCCCAGCCATCTCAGTCTTTGTGCTCTTGCTACTTCCGTTATACTCGGTGCCGATATAGATGCTTTAATTCTTCATTTGTTCTTCTGGTTCATATGTTGTCTATCTTCTTTCCTCCAAAAATCTTCCTCAGTATTTTTCTTTCCCAAATCTCTAGCCTCGAACTTTCCGTTGCATTAAACTTCCACGTTTCACATGCATACAGCACTATTGGTCGTATCATTGTTTGGTACATTCTTATTTTTAAACTTCTACAGATGTTCTTACTCTTAATAATTTGTAGTGCGCTAACACATCTATTTCCTGCACTTTTTCTTGCCATAATATCTTGAGTTACATTCGGTTTCTTTAGAAATACGGCTTCTAGATATGTGAACGTATCTACTTCCATATGGAATTTTGAACTATATACACCATTTAAAAATCAGTTTTACTCAATATAAAAATAAATTACAATCTTTTTAAGGCCAACAACATTAAAAAGTACAGAAGAGTACAGGCCAAGTAAATAACGTCTAGGGTCTGACCTCGCCAAAATTGTTATCGATTGTCATTCCGCAGCCGTCTTTGACGCCGTTTTTTTTTTGATCGTATGGGATAATATCATTGAGATGTATAAAAATAGATTAACCAATATACATTGATTTGATTTTACCTAAAATATACAAACAAAATGTAAATAAACCCTTTGTTTGTTTACAGTGTGACTTGACCACAAACTTAATATAATCCTTAATTCAAGATTTCAAAATGCCATTGACGTACTTTCAGAATCTTTATATAAACAGAAAAAGAGTGTTAAATAATAAATAATTCTATTTACACTATCAGACAAAAGTAGAGAAACTTTTTTTAAAACTCGTCGGATTTCAAAAACCCCCAATATTTAAAATAATATTTGTTTTAAACATATTTCCTTTTAGCAATACCATCATTTTTCGCCACATTCCAAATTTATCTTATTAGGTGTTTATTTCTAATATGAACACAAATATTTTTGAAGGGATATAAATAAAGAAACCAACATAAAAATTGACCATACTTAGTAGTTATTTGCTTAATGTGAAAACTGTTGATATTCGCGGAAAACGCCGAAAATATTTGTCTGAGGATCTTCGCGAAAAAATAATCAACGCACATCGGAATGGTGTACGGCAAATCGACAGAAGCACAATGTTTAATTTGCATAAGTCTGTCATTAGCAAAACGATTTCCAATTTCAAAACTTGCAATTCCTTAAAGACTATTAACTTAAAGAAAACAACGAAAAAAATTGAAATAATAATTAAAAAATCGCCATAACTAATCCGCATAAATCGGCAAATCAAATTTTGAGTGAACTATCTGGTGTCAATATAAGGTCTAAGACCATCCACAGAAGGCTAAGGGAAGCAGGATTATTTAGCAGAAGAGCAGCCAAAAAACCACTCATTAGTAATGAGAACCAGAAGGCCCGACTTAACTTTGCAAAAAAATATTTGCGCTGGTCGGCGAATTACTGGAAAAAGGTCCTGTTTTCAGATGAAAACAATTTCAATATATTTGGATCCGATGGCATATAGTGGATACATCTCCCAGAAGGGAAAAGATTTGATCCAAAATATACCAAGGCCACTGTAAAGCATGGTGGTGAATCTTGCATGGTTTGGGGATGCCTTTCGGGCTATGATATGAGACTACTGCATGCAATAGAAGGAACAATGGATCGATTTATGTATTTGGACATCTTAAAGAAAGTGATAATTTGCCTTTAACCTGGATATTTCAGCAAGATAATGATCCGAAGCATAAATCGAAAGTTTTACAAGAATGGTTTTTGTCTGAACAAATTAGTGTTATGGATTTTCCTGCGCAAAGTCCAGACCTTAAACCCATTGAAAACCTGTGGGAGGAACTAGATAGCCGGGTAAGACAAAGTCACATTAGCAATAAGAAAAAATTGATAAGAATTTTGAAAGAGGCCTGGAATTCCATTGAACCATATACCATAAGAAAACTGGACCATTTGGACTCCATGCCAAAGCGATGTCGTGAAGTTATAGCTAATTACGGTTACTCTACCCATTATTAATTTTATTAGGTTAGCAACAACTATGTACTTGTAATTTTTATGTTAGTTTTTAGTTTCTCTATTTTTGTCTAGTTTTCGTGAGGCTTCAGTCACTGCGTTAACAAGAAAGACACAATTTTAAATATTCTACTTTTGTCCGATATAAAAGTATCTAAAAATACGAAGGCTACACCATAATTGGAAAATTGGTTGGATTATCTGAAAATGATGATGATGGTAATATTATCTCTATGATACAGATACAATATACCGGCACCACTGCAAGCTACTGTCTAAAATACTAACTTGTAAAAGGTTGTGATTTTTTTTGTTGTAAATTGCACAAATATTATATATGTTCAAATATATTTGCCATTTTACCGAGTTTTTATTTTTATTTATACCAATAAAACCAGACATATTTTTTGGCATTTAATATGGAATTAGAGCATATCAACTTTCTAAATAACATAAAATAAAAAATCAAACTTGTATCACTTTCAATATTATTTTGATTAAAAAGACTAGATATAGACTAAAAGATTAGATATTGTTAACTTCTTAAAAGAAATTTACTGATGAGAACTAGGTCTCTCTTTTTTTGAAGAAAAAAAATTTGTGTTTCCTAAATTAATTTTCAAAGAAAGTGAAGTTATACAGGATGTAATAAATATGCGGCTCTTTTGTCCGACGCACATGGGAAGTGCCATAACGACTTCCCAAGTGATTCTCACGTACACGTATCACTTTCCAATCCTTTTACTGACATTAGGAAACAGTAAGAGCCCGTTCTAGCTAATTAGTTCAGTTTTAACGCCAATATCGAAAAAAACGGCATCGTAAAAGGCTGAGAAATAACAATCGATGATAACTTTGGCAAGGTCAAGCTCTAGACACTTGGCCCGTACTCTTCTTTATTTTTTTCATTGGCACTTACTTAGATAGTAATCTATACTAATATATAAAATCCTGGTTGATTCTAGGGTGTAGAGGTTCAATAAGAAGAGATTTCTCGAAATTCCAGTTCCAAGGGGGTGAAACCACCTCTCAAATATTACAATATTTTTTATTTAAAAAACGGTCAAGTTTCCGAAAAAACGCTTAAACACGTATATTTTATTTTATTCTTTTTAAACATTTTAAGATTTTTTAAAAATGTATACAGGGTGTTTCGAAAAAACTGATCATTGATTAATCACGATCCTGCTTAAAGCGCTTGACGTCAAAAGCTGATTTTTGGAAAACGGATTGACTTTAGGGTGTAGAGGTTCGATAAGAAGAGATTTCTCCAAACTCGAATTCTAAGAGGGTGAAACCACCCCTCAAATATTAGTATATTTTATTTAAAAACCGGTGAGTTTTTCAGAAAAACTCTTAAACACGTATATTTTATTTTACATATTTTAAGATTTTTAAAAATTTATACAGGGTGTTTCATAAAATATTACCATTTAGTAATCACGATTCTGCTTAAACTGCTTGACGTTTAAAGCTGATTTTTGGCCAATGGATAGACTGTGGAGTGTAGAGATTCGATAAGGAGGGGTTTCTAGAATCTCAAATTCCAAAAGGGTGAAAACGCCCCTCAAATATTACAATATTTGTTATTTAAAAAACGGTTAGTCTTTCGGAAAAAAGCTTGGACACGCGTAATTTATTTTGTTTTTTTACATATTTTGAAATTTTTAAAAATAATCATACAGGATGTTCCAAAAAGTTGGGTAATTGATTAACCACGATTCTGCTTAAACTGCTTGACGTAAAAAAATTATTTTTGGTAAACGGATTATTTTTCGAAAGGATTATTATTCCAACGGGATGAAACTACCCCTCAAATAAAATTATTATAAGTTATATAATAATATCTCCATATTGTTTTTTCTCATGCTGACATAAATGTGAGAAAATTTTATCCAGTTTGTATGTTAATAAAAATTCTTGCTTTGCTTTATCATCACCATTACAAATGATTAATTCGACGCGAACGAAGTCGCCGGGTACACGCTTTATATAAACTTTATACCCTTTATAAAATATTTGAACATTCACCCTGTAAAATATTGGACACTAAGTCATAAACACCCTGTCTAATAAATATAATAAGTACTCACCGACAGTCTCATCCTCATTATTCCTGATTTTTCTCCGAAAACTACCGAAAAAAAAGTTTAAAAATGGTACAAGTTAACTAAGGCTATCACGAAAACACCCTGTATACGCGCTGGGTACGATCGACAGACAACAGACCGCGTAAAAGCGACAGTACTTCAGTGCACGGGCGGTACCCCGGTCGATTCCTTTTATAAACTCTGTTCTGTGGTGGTACGGTGCAGAGGTACCATGCTTGAGTCATTTCGTTCGGCTAGCAGGGAAACGAACTTAGTAAAAAAGAAGACAGGGTTTTTTTTGATATCCTGTACCAAGAAGAACCAGTTTATTTTGATTTGGATCAATGAGAAATAGCGCAAAAATTTGGTTATACCACAGAAAAATAAGTCAAGCTAGAAAAACACTAAAATATTCGTTCTTTTTTTTATTTTTTCTAATATCATGGTCCTATCCATGCTGTAATTTTTGTGGTCCATTTGTTGGCCATCCTTCTTGCCAGGTGTCCTGCCTATTGCCACTTGATGGATTTGATTCTCTGAATGACATCGCCTGGGTCTTTTGTCGTATCCACTCTATTCTTTTACGGCCTTTCTTGGGTATTCCCAGCATATTTTGTTCTACTAAGCGTTGTGCGACCTGCAGTTTTAAATGTCCAGGTCTCACATGCCAAGGACTGGTAGTACACATTGGTGGAATGTTTTCTTCTTTAGATAGAGTGGCATTCTATATTTGAATATTATTGAGTTTCTTCCATAACTACTCCTATTAGTTGTCTCAAATACATATATTCTTCTACTATTTCAGTCTTGTCTTTTCTGCCTACTAGTTTGTTGTACATTACTTTAGTTTTTGCTAAATTTATTTTGAGATCTACGTTATTTCTTTGGTTGTATTCAGTTCTTCTTCCCCTAGGAAATGCAAGACCTTGTCGTTGGTGGAGAAGCTTCTTGTCAGATGCTGGAGGAGTCTCCTCTAGCACTTTGGCTCGGTCTAAGAATCATCTCATTGTCTTGTACCTGGCTGTAGTGTCATGGCCAGGGAATTGCACCAAGACATATAACGATGCCGGTCCATCATACCAGGCCCCCTCTACTGACTGTGGTCATGTCTCGCGGGTAGAGGGTGTGGGGGGGGTCTTGGCTTAACCGCCTAGACCAAGAGGAAACAAACTCACCAAAAACCTAAATCCTACGATAGCGGGACCAGGTCAAAGGGATGCGTGGCTAGATAGAGGACTAGCCATTACTGGCCTCAACCTTGTGGCTTCAGGGGCCACCCCATTGTATTTACCCCTTACTTCTGCATGCGGGGCTCTGTTGAAGTGGACCAACTATCCCTAGCGACTCGTGGGAACACTATGAGATCTAGTATTAAAAACACCACCGGTGAAGCTGTGGGGAAGCGCCCTAGCGACACTGGGAACAATACAAATGAAAGTTCCAAGGGACCAAATCCAAAGGAAACTACAGGAGGGGCGGCTGACACTTGCTTGGGATCATCCTTCACAAGTGGCACACAAGCTACTACCTTCTCCAGCAAGGGTCGGGAGCCTACCTCTAGACCCAATAAGCGACATAAGCTACCGTTTCGTCTACCCGGCCTGGGTCAACCAGGCGGGCTAGACGATCCTCTGAGAGTAGGTCTTCAACCTAAGCTTAAAAATTGGCAGGGGCCGGAACTGGTTGCAGTGAAGGGAGAAAACGTCCCTAAAGGGGCGGCCATAACGGTCTTTCTGTCGAGGAGCAAGGAAAATTGGTCATGAAATTATGCTATAAATAAAAAACGGTTTGTTTACATGTTGCTTGTATATGTTGGATCAAAACAAATCATTTTTCATAATTAGACTTCATTTAATATAATATAATGCTTCAATCTACTATAATAATACACAACATATTATGTATTAGGTATAATAAAATTTTCTATAGAAAGCAAGAGTGATTCGACTCTTTACTTCATTTTCTGCTTCATATATTTTATGATACTCCTTTCAATTGTACACCAAATAAAGAATAAACGATTTTCTATCATTAATCACGTAAATAAATTGTTAATAAATAAATACTTATTCCTTTTATTACTATTTGATAGCATTATTATTATAATACAACCTGCTACAATAACGAGGCATTCTTTAGATTTTTATAGAGCGAAATACAAAAGAAAATACGCACTACGAGTGATTAATATTCAGAGAATAAGAAATTATTTAAATTAAACAGGTGAGGAAAGAATGTACGAAACACACTATGACAGTTATTAACGCAGTTAATAGTAGATTTAACCGTTTTTATGTGTTTTATCAAATAATAAGTTTAATATAGATATTAGAATATACCTCACATCAACATGAAATAAAATTGCGTTTATATCTCATCAACGAGGTGGAAAGAACAACAATTAATAACAGTTGACAGAAAATACTTTTTTTTTCTAAATTAATTTTACTAATAAGATGTTTCTCTAATTATTCACGGTGTCCCAGAAATAAGTACAGATATTTTAAGGAGTGGTAGATCCCGATAAAAGAAACATATTCTCCCTTTACCGTTTTTCAGTTTACCGAGTTATTTTACTGTGACAATTTCCAAAAAAATTATTTTTTGCCTAAATTTTGAGAACCACTGGATCTTTTCTGGGTTTTATTTCTTTATATAATTAATCTACTACCTATGTTGCCATATTATCCAGAAATAATGCTTTTTTAACTAAGAAAAATCCAAATTTATAAAAAAAATGCTCGCGAAAAAACCTCTGGTCGAAATATACTACCATCAGTTAAAATATCTGTACTTATTTCTGAGAAACCCTGTATTAATTATGGCTAACAATTTAATTTCCTTATATAAAGTAACAAGAAAAATACTACATTATTGTTTTAAACTCTTCTGTGTCTGTCTTTAAATAACACCAGGAAATTTAAATAAACCAGACATAATTTTTACAACTTTGCTGTATATGAATAATTCATTTCTATCACAATTTGAATTTTGTCAACGTTAGAATAAAACAAATGTACATTTCTTACGTTTATTACACTAGAAATTTGAATAAAATACGTAACAAAAAATTTAGAAGAAAGTTCTAATATATGTTTTTTAGAATTGGCATCAACATAAAATTTACATATTTTTCAGTTTAAAAATTAAAATTTACTTCCTTTCATTGGCGTAACTACAGGGGGGCCCGGGGGTGCCGGGCCACCCCCAGGTACTGCTGGGCACCCCCCAGAGAAATCCTGAATTATGACTCTTGGCTACGTATTAATTTTTATTTGCTTGAGATGCAGTAAAAATGACGTTTTCTAGTTTTGTGTAGTTGATATTACTTTGTTGATTTCAAAAATGTGTTAATTTTTATTTTTTTAGAAAATTTGTAGGTTTTTAAGTAATCTACGGGATCACGGTTTGATAACCAAGTATATGAAATGTATTGACAGAGAAATCCATGTAAAACGTTTTATTCAAAAAATATGTTTTTTAAAATTATTTTTCGTTTAAAAAACACAAAAGCCCTAGGCCCTCCCCTGAGCTCAACCCCGGGCCCCCCTCCCCCAGGCCCACTCCACGATAAATTGCTAGTTACCCTAATGTACTTATTAAATCAGAACAACGTTTATCAATGTCATTCATAGATCTAGATCCCTTCTGCTGTGCTACAAAATCAATTAAAAAAATTCGCTTAAATAAAACGGTCAATAAATCTCTAGAACAGTGGAGACATTTATTTAAATATTATAAAAAACCTAAAAAATATATTACAAAAAGATAAAGAAGATCAATTATCAAAGAATTCGTTTAAAGATACACTCATTATTCTATTATCCATTATTACCATTAACTATTTAGAGTAAGAGTTTCTTCTTCGTTAATAACCTTGAAGAAATTTCAGTAATACTTAAAAATAACTTTCTTCATCGCATCGCAGGATAATCAGCGATGTTGTGGTACTAATTCAGGTACCACCCGCCGATTATTATTACATTTTCTTCATTTTAATGATCATCTTACGTTTTCTAGCTGCTAATTCCCGCTGAAATCATGATGGTCTAAGCGTGCTTCATCACCACGACTCTGTATTTATATTAGGTGAATATATTTTAAACTTACTCAAGTGGATTTAATTTACTGTAATAACATGGTTAGGTAAAAGGCAGTAAAAAAGTCCAAAATTAACAATTTTTTGTCATTTTTTTTGGACAAGTCACCGATTTTGATGAAACTACTGTTATTTACTGATTTGAAGGTGTAGAATACGAAAATATATAAGCCATTGTGGGGGGGGGGGCCTTACAATTATAGTTTTAGATGTAGGCATTTTATAAATCGTCAAAAATCATTCCGAAACAAGGGTTCCAAAAATAAAATTTCTTACAGAATCGAAGCATCTAAGTCTACAATGGCTTATATTTTCGAAATCTACATAAAATTTCCAACAAATTTTGAAATTTTTAAAATTGTATGTCCATGTTTACTATTTTTCTTGGAGCTCTAAGGGCATGCAAAAATTATCCAAAAATGAGCAATTTTTCCTGATATAATATAGTCATGAAAATTGACGATTTTGGATAAGACACCGTATAAAACTACTGTTATTTACTAATTACAAGGTGTAGAATACGAAAATATAAGGCATTGTGGTCTTTGAATTGTGGTTTTAGAAGTAGGTATAATTTTATACATCGTCAAAAATAATTTCCGAAACAAGCCTTCAATATAAAATTTCTCAGCAGAAACGTTTTAAAAATCTCCAAACAAAACAAGGATTCAAAAAATCAAATTTCTCACAGAAACAAAGCCTTATAATAGCTTATATTTTCAAAATCTACATAAAATATTCTACAAATGCTGAAATTTTCAAAATGTTATGACCATGTTTACTATGTTTCTTAGAGCTCTAAAAACATGCAAAAAATATCCAAAAATGAGAATTTTTTCGATATTTTTCCATACATAAAGTCATGAAAATTGACTATTTTGGACAAGTTATCGATTTTGATTAAGTAATGTTAATTATAATGTGTAGAATACGAAAATATAGGCCATTGTAGTCTTATACTTATGCTGTTAGACGCAGGCATAAAATTGAATGAAAATTCATAAATTCCAGTTCAAAAAATCGAATTTTTCACAGAATCAGAGCTTTCTAAACTATAAGCGCTAAA